AACCTTGACGGCTTGACCCAAACATAAAATCACAAAACCACGCAGCCAAACAATTCCTCACTGCAATTTTAATTTCTCCATAACAACGTACAATTCTTAGCAATTAATAACAATAATATCAACATTATTGTTTTTTTTTTGTTTAAAAAAAACAATAATATCAACATTAATTATGAGTAGTGAGATGCTCTGATATTAAATTGAAACATGTGCTTCATGCATCCATTTCAACTAAAAGATTAAGCTGATAGTTGGATTATACATTTATGTTTATAGAAGTATTTGGTAAATGGTTGTTAGCTGATTGTGTTGGTGAGTTTGACTAGTTGATAACATTAGTTGAATGTAAAAAAGTGTTTGGTAAATTAAACCTTTTCTGTTAGATGATTACATACTAAATGACTTTCTCAAAAAGCTGATCCAAACAGCTATTTTGAGCAGTTTTTAAAATTTTAGCATTTTTGAGCAATAACTTATTACAAAAAGCTAATCAATTAAATCACTCATATTGATTGTTTAACCAAGTCAAATAATTAATCATGATCAAATAAGTTAAAATTGACCGATGAACTAACTATTTTACTAAACAAGACCTATATATTATATGCTCTACATCCCTACCTATTTATTAAAATAACATTTGTTTATAATTTTTCTTCAAGTTCATCCCCTATCATAATGTGACAAATGTGTACCTTGTGGATAGCGTGTCTGACCTTATATGGACCTATCTCTCTAAGCAATTTTGCCGTGTCTTATATGCATTATACAACTAGCCTACATTTATTTTAAGGTGGCTTGTTTTGTCAATTCAACAATGGCATTTTGTAGTGATTTAAGTGACTATTTTAAAGTTTGGTCCAACGATTAGTATGAGAATGGAGAGATCTTAATCTATTTTGTGTATGCGTAAAGTGTACAAGTAAAGATACAATTATTGAATTTTGAGATTAGAATTAGTCTAATCTAAATTAAGATGCGTAATGTATATATATATATATATATATATATATATATATATATATAACAATGGCATTTTGTACCATGCTTTTGAAGTTTTTGATGCTATCCTTACATTTGCCATTCCAAAACTTCGTAGGATCAATACATTACACAAGTAGAGTACTTCACAATCAATCATTATATAGATCATGGTTCACTTACAAGGTGAATTATTAACATAAAGTTTATTTTTAGTACTAGTTTTTTACGCGCATTGCGCGATTGAGATAATGCCCAATATTTTTTTTTTTTAAAATAAATACTTTAAAGTATATCAAGGCAAGATTAAATTAGAATTGTTTATGTATAGATAATTCATAATTGAATGTTGAATTTGCGTATTTAAATAGGTAATTATAAGTTTACAAATGCAAGATAATATAGTCAAGATTGATTATAATTGTCAATAAAATAATTGTATAATTATGGTTAAAACGAAATACGAGACATAAGGGAGAACAAATAAAAATTAGGGCATAAAATATTAAATATATACTAATATTGAAGAGCTAACTGCTGATTACCAAACAAGGACATTGCGAGGTAATTTTCACTTCAATTTGTTGTGTGATTTGAATACTCTTTTTTGTCAATAAATCCCCCAAGTAGTTAATAGATTGGCTTAATTATATATATTTATTTTTTTAAACAATTATTATTATTATTATTATTATTATTATTATTATTATTATTATTATTATTATTATTAAATATATGTATACCCTTAGGTCATTTTACATGTTAATCTAAACAACTAATTTTTTCAAATATCTTTTTACCAACCGTTGATATAATTCGCTGGTCAAATTCCCTAAAATAATCCGCTAACGCTAACCGCTAACGGCTGATTGTCAAACAAGGACATTGCGAGTTAATTCTCATTTTAATTTGTTGTGTGATTTGAATACTCTCTTTGTCAACAAATCCCTCAAATAGTTAATATGATTGGCTTTATTAATTATATTTTTTTAATTTTTTCATGGTATTAATAAAATACTTGGTAAATAAATATATAGCATTATTTTGTATTATAATTTTGATATTTAATTAAAAAAAATAGTGCACAAAAAAAGATAATAGACAATCTTGTGAATATAATCAATTGATGAATTTGAAGTGAAGAATTTTTACATTGAAGAAATATAAAGACAATATAACTAATAAAATTATTTCTCTTAATTAATTTATTGATAATATATGAATATTATTTTTTTAATAAAGACATTATAGGGACAATGTAGCGAATATAATCAATTGATGAATTTGAATGTAAAGAATTTTTATATCTGAAAAAAAATAAATACAATATAACTAATGAAATTATTTCTCTTATTTAATTTATTAATAATGAATAATATTTTTTGAATAAAGACATTGTAGTCATATAATTTTAAATTAAAGAAATGCATATGTATTATTTTTTTGTTGTAGCTAATAAATTATTATGTATAATTTAATAAGAGTAAAATAGAGTACTAATTATGTCAACTTTGATTAGGATGATGTTTGAACTTAAGGCCTTTCTTATTAAAATCAATGAGTAAATTAACGGTCAACTAACATAAATTAACGGAAAAGATAATATTTAACGGAAAAGTTAACGGAAAATCATATTCATTAAGGATAAATTAGGAAATCTTAAGGAAAAATTAAAATCTGATCAATTTGAGCCATTCATTTGATTAAAAAATTTGACCGCCATTTTTTCTACCCATTATAGGCCTAACTCTCTTGAGCTCTTATTAGTATAGTAGATATTGAAGGTATATTTTTAGTACATTTAGTTTTTAGTTTTTTTTTTTTAAAAAAAAAATTTATTTAAAGTTCATTTTTAAGTAAACTATCTAAAGATAAACTTTTAGTATATTAAGATGAATGTGTGTTTTATGTAATTCAAACCGTAAACAATACAGAGATACAAAAGGAGTCTAAGCCTAACCAACTAGCCCTATACATCTGATAAGTGGTTAAGGACTAAATCAACTATAACTACACTAAATAATGTAACAATATAACATTATAAATATAATATGACTAACACACCCCCTCAAGCACAAGGTGGTTGAGACACAACATTGAGCTTGCTTCGTAATGTACCGAACCACGCTGTTGGTAGAGGCTTCGTGAAGATGTCCGCCAGCTAATCCTTCGTAGAAACAAAATTGACCAAGAAGTCACCCGACGCCACTTTATCACGAACGAAGTGGTAATCGATTTCTACATGCTTAGTTCTGGCGTGGAAAACCGGATTTGCACACAAGTAGGTGGCCCCTAGATTATCACACCACAGAGTAGCCGGAGAGCCGGTGTGGAGGCCAAGCTCTCGAAGTAGAGATACGACCCAAGTCACCTCAGCCACAAAATCAGCCAGGCCCTTGTATTATGCCTCAGTGGAAGAGCGTGCTACCGTTCGTTGCTTGCGGGACACCCATGAGATAAGATTCGAGCCCAGAAAGACACCGTACTCACTCGTCGACTTTCTGTCGATGGGACATCCAACCCAGTCGGAGTTAGAGTAGGCGTGTATATCTGTAGACGGTGACGAAGACAGCCGTAAACCTTGTGCTAGAGTCCCCTTGACGTACCGGAGGACCCGCTTCAGGAGCCCCCAGTGGTCAACTGTCGGTGCATGCATAAATTGACACAACCGATTGACTACATAAGAGAGGTTCGGCCGGGTAATTGTTAAGTACTGTAGAGCCCCTGCCAGACGACGATACGGGGTAGGATTCTCATAGAGTTCAGAAGACGGCGACGCAGACTGAGTAAGGGAGGCCGGAGTGGACATCGGTTTGCAATCAAACATACAACGCGACTCAAGATATCAACCATATATCGGCGCTGTGAGAGAACTAGACCATCTCCAAATGAAAGAGTTTTGATGCCAAGGAAAAAGTTGGGGGTACCCAAGTCACGGATTTTGAAAGCCGTAGAGAGACGGTTTAGCAAAGAGGAAAGCAAGGCAGAATCGTTGCCCATCATGATAATATCGTCGACGTAGACAAACAGATAGACACGTGAGTCTTGAGCTGTATAATAGAAAAGTGAGACGTCAGTTTTGGAAGCCAAGAACCCTGTAGTAAGTAAGAAGTCATGTAGGCGCTTAAATCAGGCCCGCGGTGCCTGTTTAAGACCATATAAGGACCGCTGAAGGTGACACACATAATCAGGGCGTGTCGGGTCCTCGTACCCAGGTGGTTGACGCATATAGACCGTCTCCGCTAAGTGCCCGTTCAGGAAGGCATTGTGGACATCCAACTGCCGAAGAGTCCACCCCTGTGAAACCGCCATATAAAGCAACATGCGGATTGTAGTCGACTTGACTACAGGGCTAAAGGTTTCAAAAAAGTTCTCACCGGCGACTTGATTGAACCCTTTAACAACCAACGGGCTTTAATGAACTAACAATTAATAATGACTTCAGTATACTGAAAATAAACATTTATTCGTGGTTCACAATATAATTTGTCGAGGTAAATTGAGACAATCTAGTTTCGAAGTTCAATATCAAACTGTACACTTCAACGCACAAGGAGCCCAATCCAAACTCGAATCTCTAATGTTCATATAATCGTGACAAGATTCAAACCCTTGATGTTAAGAAGCTTTGAACCAGACATGTTAAACTCTACCAACTGGAGTGTTATGCTGTGCAACCGTTGGTGCACACGGTTGCACAACATAATTTGCCGACACAACCCGAACTCAACAAAAAAAATTATTTAAAAGGGAAAACTAAAAAAGAAAAAAAAAACTATAGTGCAATATATAGAGGAATAATGGGAAGCCCAAGAATATTGATATCCCGGACCAAAATATATTGGGCTTTAAGATTGGAATTAGAGGCCCAAATAAACGAAATTAACTTCATCCCGAAGCGATTTCCATTTCATTTTTTTGCGCGTGCGATAATTGGTAGCCCTGCAAAAGCGGGCTTAGAACACAGCCCAAAAAAATTTCAATCAGTTTTTATTATATAAACTCAAACGCCACGCCACCCTGCGGTGGTTAACAATTCACTGCCGCCACTGCTTCTTCTTCTTCGTCTGCTTCCTCGCCAAGGGTTTAGCCTTCTTCTTTGCGTACCTCGCACTCTAGCTCTGCGTTCTCCCAAAATAGGGGTTTAAACGCTCCTTCCAGAGCTCCCATGGATAGATACCAGAAGGTCGAGAAACCCAAGCCCGAATCGCCCATAAATGAGAACGAGATCCGAATTACTTCGCAGGGCTTGCTCCGAAACTACATCAGTTACGCCACCAGTCTTCTGCAGGTTTATTCCCTCTCCTTCTTCTATTGGAAGCTTTCATTTCTCTAACTACACTGATTTGTGTGTGTGTGTCGTGAGAGCTCCGCAGTAGTGAGAATGCATGCGTTGTTTACCGGGCTGCTCTCTGGGGTTTGCATTCAATGATTTGTGATAGATTATGTTTTTTTTTTTTTGGATTTTTGTTCATTTCTCGTGCTCAGTTGCTCAATATTGGTTTGCTAACAGATTTTGTGGTTTCCGGACCTCCGGTTCTTAGCTGAGTTTGAGAAAACTAGGGATTGATAATAGGAAATGTGGTGCAAGTTTGGTGGCCGAGGCTTGTAGGCGTATGATGTTCTCAGTTTCTGTGTTCTCTCACTCTCTAGTAAATATGCTTAAGTTCCATGAATCTATTGTATTGACACATATGCCTGCTGGTAGTCATTGATTGCTTGCCCTTAATCTGAGTTGCTGATGAGATTAGGGTTTAGAATGTTGAGGTTGTGCGCTTATGTATCCTGTATTTATAGCTTTATTAGAATGTTGAGGTTGTAGTTGATAACTACTGTTGGGAGTATATTTGCAATAGCATATATATCAAACAATTGAATGGTTGCTGAGTTATAAGTATGGCACTCTGGTTGTATACAGTGCTCGTATTGGGTGAGGATTGAACTTTATGAGTTTAATCTTCTAATAGCTATTCAACATCTATACTTAATTAGTGGTCTAAGGTTTTGATGATTCTCTTTGGTTATCCGGAAATGCAATCTTATATGGAGCTTCACTGTACTTTGTTGTTCAGGAGAGACGTGGGAAAGAGATAGTATTGAAAGCTATGGGTCAGGCGATCAGCAAGACTGTGGCTATTACTGAGATTATCAAGGTTTCTTTCATTTATTTGAGATGTTTTTCTCTTCCTCTCTGTTTTTTTTTTTTTTCCTGTATTGTACTTCATTTCAATCTATGTTCTTGTTGAATTTGCAGAGAAGGTTTCCTGGTTTGCACCAAGACACTGCCATCAGCTCAGTAAGCATAACTGATGTATGGGAACCCATTGAAGAAGGTCTTGAGACGTAAGTTTTGACCTTGGCTTGCTTTTCTGTACTTTTTATTTGTCAATGTATTGCACTTCTATGTTGTTGCGTTACTCTGATTCTTGGATGATTTTCTCTGATACGCAATACAGAGTGGAGCAGACTCGCCATGTGTCTATGATTTCCATCACCTTGTCTACAAAGGAGCTGAACAAGAATTCTCCTGGGTAACACTCTTCTGAGTAACTAGGAATAATGAGAGAGATTGTGAGGACAACTTGACCCTATTCTCCATCATGCTTGCTCTCGTGTAGAACCTTACCTGTATGAGCCCGTGGATATTACCTATCTGGCTGTTTTGATATTTAAATGATTTGTCTAGTTTGAACTGTTTACAATTTGATACGGAGTATATTTTATGGTTTTACATTGATTTTGGCAAACTAACAGTTGTATAATCTTTCTCCATGTGTTTACTACTATAAACTCTTTGGCTCTGACTGGGCAATTTTCTTCAAAAGGTATCAAGCTCCATCTCATTCAGAGCAGGGAAGATGGTATAATAACTATCAGCCGCAGCAGCATCAGCCACCTAGACAAGCACTTGCGGTTTATAATGCTGGTAACGAAGGTGATGACTTAAAAGGCAGCATTGAGAAATAAATTGAATTGTTGAAGACAAGTTATGAAGGTAGCGTAACTAATTATTGTTTTTGTATTGTTTAGATTCTTATGGTCGAGGAAGAGGCCGTGGCAGAGGGAGGGGACGGGGTTGGAGCAGAGGTGGTTATGGGAACTATCAGGGAAATTATAGAGGAAATTACCAGGGGAATTATAGAGGGAACTATCAGGGGAACAATCAAGGAAACTATCCAGGGAGCAATCAAGGGAACTATCAGGGTAACAATCAAAACTATCAGGGTAACAATCAAGGAAACTATCAGGGGAACAATCAAAACTATCAGGGTAACAATCAAGGAAACTATCAGGGGAACAATCAAGGAAGCTATCAGGGGAATAATCAAGGAAGCTATCAGGGGAATAATCAAGGAAGCTATCAAGGCAAGCAATTTAGTTTACTTAATAAAAAGTCAATGTTGATGCATATGGTCCATTCTTAATGTCTAACATTTGTTTACTTTTTTCCTGAAGAAAATGGTGGGTACTCAAACTGGGGTCGAGGTGGTGGTCGTGGTAATTGGGGCTATCGTGGTAAGTCTACTCTAGCGATTTTTAGTAACCTCTGTAGTATGTATTCTTTTTACTGATATAGCAATGTGATGAACCATACATGTGTACTAGTGGGACTACATTAGTTACTGAAAACCTGGTTTTTGATAGGCACTGGATATGGGCGAGGTGGTAGGGGCTATGGGGGTCGTGGACGTGGTGGACGGATGGGAAACCGTGGTGGTCCAAGAGGGGGTGCCAGCAACCGAGCATAGTGTGTGGGATTGGTGACCTTGCTTGTTCGCCTTGGCTTGAGTGGGGTTATTATGTCAAAGTCAGTCATCTTGTGTCTAAAAAGCATGAAATTACGGGGTTTAAGAGTGGTTTTGTTGGTTTTCAGCATCATATGATATGTGGGAAAAGTTTATTTGAGAGTAAATTGCTTTTTAGTTTTTATGAAGCCAAGCAAAGAAGCCAATTCTGACTGCTGTCACATTTGTTTCACACTCAGTTGCAAATATCTATATTATATTTGTTCTTCCATCTTCTTTCCACCTTTTATTAAGTGTTAACTCCCTCATTTTTTGTACATAATACACAAGTCACATTTTTATAAACCAAACTTTTTTTAGTAATAATGATCCATGTCTATGAATTTCCGACCATCTTTTAGCCAAACTACACATCCTTATCCAAACATGAGCTATGATGTACAATACAATAATTGGGAATGAGAAAGGAAGGATTGATATAAAAATTAAGGATGGAGTGATATAAAAATTAATTAAAATGTCTAATAATAATAATCAAAGGCAAATGTGTCATTTTTTTTCCCTTTCCCTTATGCTGAATTCCAATTTATGGGGGGAGGGTTATGAATTCAATGAATTGTGGGAATTATTCATGGGGGAGGGCTATGAATTCAATGAATTGTGGGAATTGCAATTCCATCTAACCAAATAGTGTAGTTATTCATGGGGGAGGCTATGGATTCCAATTTAATGAATTGAAGGGATTGCAATCCCCTCCAACCAAATAATGTAGTTTTCATGACTACGGAGTTTCATTGCAGAAGAATTATAATTCATGCGAACCACAACACTCTGTTAAAGATGTTAAAGAAAAAGAAGCCTAAAAAGCCTTCAGACCAAATTTATGAGTCGGAGCTTTATGCTATGCAATCGCATGTTGCACACGGTTGCAAAAAACGACATCGTTTTGACGTCCAACTTAAAAAAAAAAAAAATCAGTTTTGATTGCCGTTAACGGTGTTATGTTGTGCATAATTTGAACTATATATTCATAACTTCATAACTATACATTCAGAATTGCATAACTACAAATCCATAACTTCATAACTATATATTCAGAATTGCATAACTACACATCCATTAACTTCATAATTATACATTCAGAATTGCATAACTACACATCCATAACTTCATAACTATACATTCAGAATGTGAAATTATAAAATTATGAACATATGTTTACGTAACTAACGGCAATCGAAAATAATTTTTTTTTTTAAAAAAGTAAAACGACGCCGTTTTTACAACCATGTGCACCATGCATGGTGCACACGGTTGCACAACATAATTTGTCATATGAGTCGAGTAGTTATGCTGTGCAACCGTGTGTATCATGCATGGTGTACACGGTTACAAAAACGACGTCGTTTTGACGTCCAACTTAAAAAAAAAAAAATCATTTTTGATTGCCGTTAACGGCATTATGTTGTGCATAATTTGAACTATACATCCATAACTTCATAACTATACATTCAAACCCAACAGGGTAGCTCAAGTGGTAAATGAGCTCTCTTTGTGGGGGAGAATTTCGGGATAACCTGTGTTTAATTCCCACAAGTGTCAATCCCCTTTGGGTTAGTTTCTGTGCCTCCCGAAGCGAATCCAAAAAAAACTATACATACATAATGTGAAATTAAGTAAAACGATGCCGTTTTTGCATCCGTGTGCACCATGGTACACACATATTCACAGCATAATTTTCCATATGAGTCCCCTTGGGCCTGATTCTTGAATTGTGCATCATCAAGCATTACACTTTATCCTTTCTTTCCCAGCTTTCTTCAGCCCTTGAAGGGCCATGCATTGTGGAAGCCTGAGTCCATTTCCACCACGGGGCCTCGGGCCTTCTTATTGTGTTGAAACACAATTGTTTGTTTTTTTTTTTTTTTTTTTTTTTTTTTTAACCCAAGTCCATGAAGAGATAAATTGAGACTCAAACCTACAATATTTAGGTAAATTATGCTGTGAAAAGGTGGACCCGAGTTTTAAACGGCATCGTCTTAATTTAGAAAAAAAAAATTACTTCCTTTCTTGCCGTTTGTCTTCAGAATTCGTTCTTCTATATTCACAATTTTAAAACTCTATATTTACAATTTTAAAACTCTATACTTACAATTATAGAACTGAATATTCACAATTTTAAATCTCAATATACAAAATTACATAACTCAATATTCACAATTGCAGAACTCTATATTTACAATTACAGAACTCTATATTCACAATTATATTTCACAACTCTATATTCACAATTTCACAACTCTATATTTCACAACTCTATATTCACAAATTTATAACTCTATATTCACAATTACAGAACTCTATATTCACAATTAAAATCATTGACCGCGAGTGGAATCGTTATTTTCACACGCGCAAACTGCGTCGTTTTGGACCTGGGTCAACCTTGCAAGGTGGACCCAGGTCCATGACATAACAATTACAATATTTATAGCATGAACCAAACCCTAACTTCGTTACTGAAAGCAAGTTTTAAGTAAAACTTTTCATCACTAGACCAATATCTTAGGGATCAATCATTTTCAAGTGGAATCGAACCCCACCCCTATATCTAATTTGAACAATATTTTTTAGTGAATTGAGTTTGCAGTGAGACTAGCGTGGTAGAAATGGCATTTAAACATTTCTTGATGACACGTTGCCACATGATATATCAGGAATTATAAATTTCAATACTATGTAAAAAAAAAAAAAGAATATTAAGATAAAGTTTTTCTAAAGACCAAAAGTTTAGAGATTGAAATTGGCCTCAAATCTTGTATGTTCACTATAGTCTATAGTGATCACTTTAGCTAGGCAACAAGCAACAGAAAATGACTAGACCTACTAAAAAGTGGATTAATTTCATCAATTTATTTGGTTTTATGTTGGAAATTAAAGAAAAATATGGTGATATTTTTGTAATCACGCCAATGCATTTGAAAATGCTTGAGAGTGCATTAGTGGATAGCTGGTAGTGCACTCAGATCTATAATAGTGTCACGTGTATGCACTATTAGTTATTGGTAACTGTATTATCAAACGTTTTCAAATGTTCTGTCGTAATGATGAAAATGCCACTAGTTTTTTTTTTCATTTTTTCTTTAATTTTAGGCTTCTAATCAAATTAATTCACACTTTTTACATGAGCATGTGTTCTCACGCAAACTTGCCTATAATAATAATAATAATAATAATAATAATAATAATAATAATGATAATAATAATAATAATAATAATAATAATAATAATAATAATAATAATAATAATAATAATAATAATAATAATAATAATTTTTTTTTTTTTTTTAAAAAAAGAAGCAAAAGTATGATATTTCAGAAGATAATATGTTCCCTACCATCTTTACATCCCAACCTCTTTTGCTAAGAAACTTCTTATTGACACAATATTCAATTCTGAGTGTACATTTAGCTGCTTTCTGTAAAGCTTGGTTTTCCACTCTTTGAACTTTCAACCTTTCTCTTGGCCTATATATGTATATGTTTATATATAATTAATCTTATTAGAAAAAGTTGGGCTAGTCAAATCATGGGTTTAAATATAGCCCTAAATAGAATTAAACATTTTTATAAAGTTTGAACAATTATGGGACATGGTGGTAGGGTCATATGTGAATTTTAAAATTACATTTATATTTTCGTGTGTATATATATAAAGTTACTTTTTTATATTAGTGTTAAAATAATTAAGAATATGTATTATACATTATTGAATACTTAAAATGTCATTTAAGAATGATATAATGTGTCATTTTCAAGTGTAGTCTATAGTCATAAAATTTTTAAAATCAAAAGTTCAAGCACTAATACACTATATGTTAGTTATTGTATGAGAGTCCGCGAACACTTTACTTGGTATGATATCAAGCTAAATGTGAATGAGAATGCTGAGAGGATAATATATAATTGTTGTGGCATGAAGAATTTTGAGAGAAGAAAGAAGTGTGTTAGAAAAAATAGCATTAAAATGGTATTTTAAGTAGCTATTTTGTGGTACAATTATCAGTGGGGTTCACTTTCGATTTGGGTCGGGTCAAAATGGATTCGGGTTCGTCGTAGTGAGACGAAGAGATTGATATATTGTACGCTCAAAACGAATAATGGGTGAATGAGATATTGATTCTCAAAGTAGACCCATTTGAGTTGGAAAATGAAAGGAAAAAGTGTAAGGAAAAAGTGTAACTTTTGTCCCACATTGTTTTGGGAAGTAGACTTGCACCACTATTTATACAAGAGCTCTTTTAAGATTTATTGAATTGTATAGCATAGAGGCTCTCTCTCTTAAGTGTAGGGGGTGTGCAAATCAAATTTCAAAGAAAGCTTGAACTTGTTTTCCATAGCTCCATCATCTACTCTGTTCTTGTCGATTGTGTTATGCCCGTGCTCTAGTTCGCTGGGTTTGACTTTCGCTGGGTTTGACTTTTGGGAGTTGTCAAATAAGGTTTTAATTTTAAGAAAAAAGAGTGATTCGCTCGACTCGTACTTACCACGATTTTTCATCTTCTCTCTTTTCCGATTTTGAGATTATGCTTTTAAGCAATAAATCCTTACTTCGTTTCCTTTTGGTTGGAATTATAATATGTGGATTATAACTTCCATTTTGGTTGATATATATATATATATATATATATATATATATATATATATATATATATATATATATATATATATCGGATATATATCGAATAATATTTTATATACTTTCGTGTGTATATATATAAATATTAATTTGCGATATTAAATCGACTTTGGTTCATTATTTCCAACAGTATGTACATGAATTTAAAAAAAAAATAGGGATTTTAAAATAAATAAAATATTTAAAAAAATCTGCGACCGTTCTTCACCAAGAACAATCGCGGATGAGATAAAAAAAATATTTAACATTTTTCGTGACCAATCTATACTAAGAATGGTCGCGGAAAGTCACGAATAATATATATATATATATATATATATATATATATATATATATATATATATATATATATATATATATATATATATAGGTTTCCAGTACAGGTGAATGCTTCCCGTGCGGTTGTGCGGGTGATTAATGTGCGTGAGTTTTGTACTTAATGTGCGTGAGTGTTGTGCTTAAGGTGCGTGAGGTTTGTGCTCAAGGTGCGTGGGGTTTGTGCTTAATGTGCGTGTGTAGTGCTTAATGTGCGTGGATTTTGTACTTAAGGTGCGTGAGTCTTGTGCCTAAGGTGCG